AACTGTATGCAAAATTTCAGCAAAATCTATTGCGAAGAAATGGTTCAAAAATCTGCATCTGTCATATTTGACAGTTGACACCTGTCATCAGTGGTCTAAAATGTATTATCATCCGAACTTAAAGTGTATGCAAAATTTCAGCAAAATCCGTTGCGAAATAATGGTTCAAAAATCTTTACCTCTCACATTTGACAATTGACACCTGTCATTAGTGGTCTAAAATGTATTATCACCTAATCACCTGAACTTGAAGTGTATGCTAAATTTCAACAAAATCCGTTGTGATATGGTTCAAAATCTGCAAGTGTCTCAATTTGACAGTTGACACCTGACATTAGCGGTCTAAACCTTCTCATCATTATTGCCTTCTATATTAAACACTAAACTGGTTTGAGGCACATCGGTTGGATAGTTTCAAAGTCTATAACGGACATAGGTAGACACACACACAGACAGACAGAAACAATTTTTGTGTTTTATACCTCTATTTATTAGTAACAGAAAATTACTACCCACAAAAATACAAAACTAATAACCTATTTATTATTTTGTTTTTAATTATAATAATATTCCTATTCTATGGTAGGTATATGTAGGTATAATAAGTACCTATATAAAACATAGGCATTTAATTTATTATACAAAAGACAACTTGGTAACATAGCCTAGCAAATACGCCTGCATTTGGTGCCTCAAATTTAATCGCAGAAACGACTGATTTTACTAGGACACCAGCGCCATCACGCGGGTTTATATTTTCGCCGGCGGACGGGTCTTCTAGAGACGTTAGTCTATAATATTCTTTGGTTTCAGTCTACAAAGATACCTTAGAGCACGCTTCTGAAGGACAAAAACAGATTGCAGTAGTTGCCCGGTACAAAAACCCCAAAACGCTATTCCGTATCTTAGGTTTGATTCCACCAATGAAAAATACACCGATCTTGCCAAAGAATGACCCAAGTCCATACTGACCAACCTAACAGCATAGCAAGCTGAGGCCAATTTTTTATTGAGAGCATTGACATGTACTGAAAATTTTAATTGCTTGTCAATTTGTAAACCCAAAAATTTTACATCACTTCTATTTTCCAGAATGCTGTTTTCCAAAGGAATATTTTTTAAATCACATTTGAAAGACAAAATATTAGTTTTGCTAATGTTCAAAGATAGACAATTTGCATCACACCACTGCTTAATTTTTGTTATGTCTCCTAACATTAGATTGTTGAGCCGATCTGGGCACTGATCCAGCCATAAAATCGTGGCATCATCCGCAAAGTAAGGTGACCAGTAATATCAAGATTTGCTAAATCATTGATATATAAAAGGAAAAGAAGCGGTCCCAAAACTGAACCCTGGGGCACACCATAGGAATTTACAAGCAGTTCGGAATCGCCTCCCTGCCATCCAACCAGCTGACTTCTGTCCGACAAGTACGATGAAAGCCACCCCAAAGCAACCCCCCCAAATTCATAACATTGAAGCTTCCGCAGCAGTATTTCCCGATTCACACAATCAAAGGCCTTTTAAAAATCGCAAAACACTGCCCCAGCCACATCGCCGTCATTTAAACCCATGTACAGCCGCTCCAAAAAGGCAAACATGGCATCCTTTGTGCCCATCGAATCTTGGAATCCATCCAGTCCTTTAGTAATTTATGTCTGTTCATAAATGACATCATTCTCTTCTTTATTAGTTTTTCTATTGTCTTTGAAAGTGTAGGCAGTATGGATACAGGACGGTAACATGACGGATCCTGTACGTCCCCACCTTTAAATAGAGGCCTCACTAAACCAGTTTTAAGACAAGAGGGGAAAATACCCAAATCAAACGACTTATTAATAGCTTCAGCGAGTGAACCCATTGCACTCTCTGATAAGTTCTGAAATACTCTCAACATTTCATCTAAACCAGCAGAATTTTTACTTTTTATTTCCCCATCTGTAAAGAAATAGCATATATTTTTTTTGCTGCAGGAAAAATTGTCAAGTTAGCCCTGTTTTGTTGACTTTTTAAAAAAGCTAGGTGATTCCGCAGTTAATGTTTTCCAACATAAAATACGAACATTATTTATGACGTCAATGTTAGTCCGCCTACAGAATGAAAAAATGTAAAGTAGTATAGTATTTTTTTTCTGACTTGAAACACTGCATTATACGAGGATATTTCAACATCACGTCGCCCTCTTCTCTTAATTTCATAGAAAATCTATTGAAAAGTTTCCCTGTACAAAATATAAGCAGCGACGAAATATCGCGACAGTAGCCCAAAATAATAATTTAGGTCGGCACGCGCCTATAGATTGAATTATTGGGGTGGGCTACTTACTTTTTTCCTACTTTTCTTCTTTTTGAGAAGGATGCGGATGCCTAGGTGACTAGACTATATACGCGTTATCTATAACTAGTAACTAGTATCATCCCAATATATGTGTATATTATTTGCTATTTCATTCCACGTATTATTTAGTTGTGTTTTTTGACATTGATTATCACCATTTAAAGAAATAAAAATTATGTGACGCCCATGTCCTTTATTTGTTTGATGTATGCCGACTAGATGTTTTTTTAGTGTTCAGTTCCGATTAAAAATACTATACCTACCTACGTAAGCGAAAAGAGGGATAATTTCAATTTCATTCATGTGTTGAATATAACGATTAATTGAACGAGTGGTAGAGTGGTAGATCCTGACTTAGACCAATCACACTCGAAATTACGGGATTTTGGCGTGCACTCGTTCTCTTTTTTTAACTTAAGTGCGTTCGTACTTACAAGTTTCCCAAAAATTATCGATAATTTTCAGTTAGCTTTTTATGTTACGACTTACTGATGATATGAGAACTGAGAACCCGATAAACTAGACTTTTCATGAATAGAACACAAAGTTCCTTAAACAAGGAAAATTGACTGTCATGCAGTCTAGACGTTGCACGTAGTGTTTTAATTCATACCTGTGGTTGTCAGCGGACAGCGGGAATGAGAGAGGAGCCACACAACTTCTGCCACCAGACCGCACTTTGTTGTGTTTAAACGGCTCTATTGAGGGCCGGTACTTTTGCTCTCGATTAACGAATTTGATACGTTGTCAAAGTTTTGCATGGGTCAAGGTCTATAAGTCTGATGTGGTTAGAACACATTCTAACCCCTGATTATTTTTAACGGCTGTCAAATGAGAGCAAAAGTACCGGCACTGAGTTTATTATTGAAAATAGGTCGGTATATACTCGAGACGAAAGAAAGCCAATTAAATTTGCCAATTTTTGAGCAAAAAATTAATTGAATACTCCAATATTTAAAGGAGTTATCGCAGGTTAAAGCAAACATTTATTTTATTCAATCGCGCCGTGTCTACGAAATAACTGATTTTTTGAGCTCTACTTTGATATATTTCAAATAATATATACACCATATTAAAGAGAATATTTTTGTCTAGAATCTAGAAGAAAAATCATTCTATTGCCATAAGCGGTTTAGAAGTTATACGAGGTTAAAGTTGGAAATTTTTGTTTCCGTATATTTTTAGTTTTTTGCTCCTAACTTGGCTCTCGACCAATGAAAAAAGTCGTCCATTTCAATTTCATATGCAGAAAAATATGCTGAATCATCTGATACTAGTCTCAATAAATTATACCTCAATACCGGGTTTTTGAACGCAAACGCTTCTCCGCCGACGGCCTAAATATTCTTGTCGACCCACATTTCCTTGACAATATAACATTGGTTGTTCCAAGTTGTGCCATAGAAGACAAGCAGTTACATATTACAATTTGAATGATTAAACAATTTTTTTAACCCCTAACCGAGGGCATATCATCAATTCTTGAGATCAAAAGTTATAAATTCTTGCAACTTCACTGCAACTTAGCAAATTGCAACTATTTCTTGGTATTAATTTGACTTATTAAATTGAATCATCCAAAACTGGTATTCAATTGTTCTTGAATACTTCTTTAATTATATTTTATACTTTGTTTAGAGCTATCAGGCTATGCTTGCATATTGTATTGTATACCAAAGCAATTTATCCTAATGATTGATTAACTACAAAGGGCTCGGAACAAAATAACTGGACTTGCAGTTATAATCAAGTAAATAACAATATCTGTTTCCTCATAATTTCATACAATTCAGCTTTCTGCTTCTGCATGAGACTCCAGCGTTGTAGGTAATTTCTTGACGCAAATTAGAACTTTTAGCGTTGCTTTGTAGAGTAGGGAAGAGACTAATATTGTTTTGTATTTTCTTCAGGAGTGCTAGTGCATTCTTACAATAACATAATTAGGAATTTATTCTACTACAAAGGCAATTCATTAGGCGAATATCAATAGAGACCTGATTAGATAGATAGATTAGAGTTGTTGGTATTTTGTGTACGCTGTAGACTGTAGATTCATTTGAGAATAAGTATACAGGTGAGTAGTTGTTTCAAATTATACAATGAGAAGTGATAATAGTGGTTATCGATTAGACCACCCCTGCCAGAGCCTACCTACTGATTAAAATTGAATGAAATAGGTACGTTTCACAATTAATAAGTAAATTTTATAAAGTAAGTACATATTCAATATGGTTTAACATCTATCATGTATTTTATTTTATTAGCTTTATGTTGCTTTTATGTCTTATTCAGCTTTTGCTTATTTTTTTTAAAATTTCTACAGCGGACCCTCATAGCCAAAACTATTTCAGGACAATCAAAACCCAATCAAAAGGTGAATTAGTTTTATTTTTAGTTTTACTGAAATGTTATGTTACATGAGGCGATGCTGTAGTTGAAATGCATAAATCCCGTTGGCTGCTTATTAATTATCCCTCAAACCTGCTGATTATTTTTTTTAAAAAGTGATATTCACCTATCCAAAGGAAATATCAACATCTCATTTAAAGCCCTTTATTAATTATGATTTCTTAAAATAATAAAAAATCAGTGACAATAATTGCATTGATTATTGATTATGAAATGTGCATTTTTTTCAGCTGCTACAACAATAGCATGCAATGGCGTCCCAGCTGGATTGCGAGGCCAGAACTATTGTCCTAGTAGAGTTTATTCCTGATGAGCTGGACAGACAGAGAGTCCAAGAGCTTTTTTCTGAAATTGTACCAGTAGAAAGTACGATTTTAATGAGATCCCGAACATCTGCAAAATACGGTCTTGTATTTTTCTATCAGCCTCAGGATGCTCTTACTGCTGTTGAACACTTTGAAGGATATGAAATTCTAGGGAGGACACTCAGAGTGTCACTTGCACAATATGATAAAGAAGCAATTGAAAAGAGTCAAAACGTTGATGAAAACAGGACTAATATTATAGTAAACTATCTACCACAATCTGTGACTCGGAATGAAATGTACTCACTTTTCTCTACCTGTGGAGAATCGCCGCAATGCAAACTTATGGTAAATATTTGTACGGGAACTTCACGATGCTACGGATTTGTTAAGTACCATTTGCCAGAAGAGGCTGCAAAAGCCATAAATCTATTCGATGGACTCAAAATACAAAATAAAATACTCAGGGTCTCCTATGCAAGACCTTGTTCCGAACAAACTAGAGGAACTAATCTATATGTAAATAACCTCCCAGAGGATGTTACCGAGGAAGATGTACGGGTATTATTCAGACCATATGGTCAAATAATCAATTGTCGCATTATTGGCGAGAAGTCAACTAGGCACCAAGTTGTTCCCGATACTGCAGAAAATTCACCTCCAATTTCAAAGCGCGTGGCCTTTGTCATATATAATCAACGCTCCCAAGCTAAAACAGCCATTAGCATGCTGAATGGAGTTTTTTATCAAGGAAATTTTCTTGGCGTTAAATTTGCCAAACGTAGACGTAGACGCGCGCCACCATTACGTCTATGCCAACCACAATTTCCTCTACCCATCCCCAGCTACTTCTACAGTTATCCCAATTTCCCCTACCCCATCCAAATTTTCCTGTAAACATGGTACAAGTATTCCTATTTTTTGGTTTTGGGCAATGCTACACTTATTTATAATGAACAGAACCATGGGAGTAGATTTAGTTTCAGTAATACAATATGTTTAATTTTAATTTAAATGCTGTGAAGAGTTTGGACAGTTCTGTTTTTTAAGGTCGTTCACTTCTGGCTGTATTTAGTTATTATTCTAATCAGCTCAATCAGTTTTCTAATCCAAAATGTTCCTTTTTCACATTATCTAGTTATTATTAACCAAAGAAAAGAATATATTTTTTTGCATACTTGTTTAATAATCATTTATTTATGGTATTAATAATACGGTATCCGCCAAAATAAACAGTACTGAAATCTAGAGCTCTGAGTAATTGCGCACGCAAGTTTCATTTATCATATTTCATTTACTAGGGATTAGTTATGAAGTTGACATTAAGTTAAAGTTAAAATCTTCGTCATTATGTATCTTTCAACTCAAGAAACAGTTTTCTTAGTAGAGCACTATTTCCGGTCATACGGATTTGGAAGGAATAAAGGCTCAAGTTTGCAACAAGTCTCAGAAAAATTTCAGCAACCACTTTAAATAAATATTTTCAATGATTTGCAAAATAGTTATGAAGCTGTTTTGTGTAAATAAATAAATAAATAAATGATAAAAATTAATAAATGATATAATTTATATGTTCGGTACTGTTTATTTTGGCGGATACTGTAGTAAGGATCTTACCTATGTGTGGCCAACTGAAGTTATCTCTAGGCCTGGTTCTACAAGTTTTCTTTGTATAGTATAGTTTGTTCTAAGCATATACAGTAATGGCGCTGAAATCCGAACTAATAAAAACGCGACTTATTCAAATTAACCAGTATGTATTTTATTGAAACTCCAAATATAATAAATATTTCAAATGCTTTATAGACTTGAAATACTGGGAAAACTGTTCCTTTCCATGTCCGGATTACCAAAATTCGTAGGAAATCCGCATTCACAAGTGCATTTATGTAATTCAATAAAATGGACGTTCATATTGTGTTGGAAACATGTTCCAACAATCATGCTATCTCTTTTTGATGGCAAAATATTTTTATACATATAAAGTTTGCAACACTGCAGCGTTGTCGTCATGTCTATTTTGTCATGTCTGTCAATATATTGCGCGCCATTTTTGTCATTGCAGCAGTGTAGCTTGGAGCTTGTCCACGTTAACAAGCATCCAGAAACCTTTTCACATTTTAATAAATTTTATAATCTAGCTCTGCCCTGTTGGGCATCTAAGCAAGCTCTGGCTTCTTGTCATCTTGTAGTAGTAATTGTAAATAGTGTAAATATTGTGTAAATTGTTGTAAATATAGTGTCAGTGAAAAGCGCGTGTGTTTTAGTTCCCTATCCAGTCGATCATCCAGTCCACCTAATTATACAGTCCACTAATTATCAAGTTATTTATCTTCCATTATGTGGTTTTGCACATAATTTTGGCCAGTTCGAGCCGGATACTGGATAGTTCGGAACCTAAAAGTGCTTTAAAAACCCTCAAAAAGTGCCTTTTTAGTGGTTATTGATTGTTCCATCGTGATTTGTGGCGCCATGTGATGCAAAAAATCAATCATCCACTGTGCAGTCTGCACGTGTCTCAAACAACGTTGGGTTCCACGTGCCACCAGCGAAGGTTTCCGCCGGAACCGGAAGTGCGTAAGTAGAGTGGGGCGGAGCAAACAAACTTCACTTGTCAAATTCAAAAGGGTGCTTCTTTTTCTCGTCTGGTTCAACCCAAGTCACCCCGGGTGCAGTATCCTTGCTTGGTGCAATGAAGTACAGCCCCGGAGCAACGAACATGAAAGTGAGAGTTCACCTCCCCGACAGCTTAACCTCAAATTAAATGTCAAACATTTGTTTACGTTTTGTTGTTTGTTGTTTGTGTATTTTGGATTTTTGCAGTGAATTTGAGTGAATTTGCATTATTTTTGAAAAACTGAATTTTTCGCATTAATTATTGCTATTTTTTCATTATTTATTTAAAGGATGAACAATTATCCGTTTTTCGTTTTGTTAAGTAGTTTTAAAAAAAAAAAAAATCTAATTTATTAGGTAATTTTAAATTTTGTTTATAGATTTCTTTTGATATTTTCTTATTTTTTTGATTGTAAACTTTGTAAATATGGCTACCAAAAAGCAAATTGATAAATTATTGTCAAAGAAAAAGCAAGCAATCGACTCCATGGTTAGAATAAGTCGTTATATTTCCGATCACAAATCTGATCCTGACAGTGAGTATAAAACCGACCAATTTTTAGTTCGGAAGGAAATATTGCAGGACAGTTTTCAAAAGCTTAAAGACATTCAAGTTGAAATTCTGTGCCTTGATGGTAACTATGATGATTCAATTGATGATGTAGAAACTCTTTTTTATGATGTCATTGTAAGTATTAAAAATTGTTTACCTAAATCTAATTTACCAGGACCAGCTAATACTAGTAATTTAGCAACTAATATTGCTCAATCGGTTTCAATTCCACCTACTCAAAGTAATAATTTTATTTCTGCTGCTAAATTGCCCCCAATCGAGATACCTACCTTTGATGGAAAAAATTTTAACACAAGTCATAAAAACAAAGCCAAATTCATTTTTTGAAGATTTTTCATCCCTTAGAAGACTTCAAAGAGTTTTTGCCTATATACTTAGATTTGTTCACAATTCTGGAAAAAATTCTGGTGAAAAACTTGAGGGAAGTTTGAAGCTTTCAGAACTGGAACACAGTCTTAGAGTAATCATAAAATGTGAGCAAGACTTTTACTTTTCTAATGACATTAAATCTTTACTTTCCAATACCCCTTTAAAATCCTCATTAAACTCTTTGTCGCCGTTCCTAGATGGCAATGGATTATTGCGAGTGGGTGGAAGGTTACATAATTCAAACATTCCATATAATCAGAAACATCCTGTGATCTTGCCCAAGGAAAGTCACATCACCAAATTAATTATAATACAAGAACATTCAACTTTGTTGCACGCTGGACCAAGACAAGTTTTAGGTTCCCTAAACCTCAATTATTGGCTCATAAATGGAATAAGATTAATTAAAAAAGAGCTACACAAATGTGTGATTTGCTTTAAATTCAAAGCAAAATGTTCCACTCAATTAATGGGTTCCTTGCCGGAAAAAAGAGTCTGTTCAGCCAGAGTGTTTCAAAATGTCGGGGTAGATTTTTGCGGTCCCTTCCTCGTTAAGCAATCTCGAATTAGAAAATCCGTAAGTTCCAAGGCATACATAGCACTTTTTGTGTGCTTTTCAGTCAAAGCAATTCATATGGAACTGCTTTCAGACCTGACAACCGAAAATTTTCTAGCTGCTCTGAAGCGTTTTATTTCGCGGAGGGGGAAGCCCGCAAATATTTTCTGCGACAATGGTTCCACGTTTAAAGGAGCCGAGAATAAAATCAAAGAGTTTTATAACGAAACAGAAAAAATTGAAAATTATTCCCTTCAGGAAAAAATTACATTTAATTTTATACCGAGCTATTCTCCAGTTTTTGGTGGTTTATGGGAAGCTGGAGTAAAATCGGCAAAATTTCACATCAAGCGAGTCATAGGTAGCAATGAGCTTACCTATGAACAATTTAATACTCTTATTGTCCAAGTGGAAGGAATTTTAAATTCCCGACCACTTGTAGCCTTGTCACAAGATCCTTCAGATTTGGACTATTTGACCCCTGGTCATTTTTTGATAGGTGCGCCTATCACAAGCTTTCCTGACCCTGATTTGACGGAAATTCCCCAAGGTCGACTTAAGTTTTGGAAATTGTGTGTCCAGATGCAGCAGCATTTTTGGAAAAAGTGGTATCACGACTATCTAACGCAACTCCAAAATAGGCCAAAATGGCGTGATGAGATGCCTAACCTTAGGGAGGGCTTGTTAGTCATTTTAAAAGAGGATAATGTACCTTCTTATAAGTGGCCAATGGCAAGAATAGTTAAAGCAATACCTGGAAAGGACGGCAAAGTAAGGGTTGTCGAAGTGAAAACCAAAAAAGGTATTTATCTCAGATCGGTTACCAAGATTGCAGTGTTACCGATTGATGACAATAATTGTTAATAATATTTTTGAAAATTATTCACAAAATTCTGTACATATATTTGTAAAACATTTAGATTTATATTTATATTCAATTAGCTATACTCGTATATACATACATAATGTCATACTATGTGTTCCAGAAATGTTTTTAGCTTTAATTGTTAGTTAAGTTTTCGTTTACTGGATCATCATTGAAATCATACCTTTTTTTAAAAAAAGGGTTGCTTACTTTCTCTTTAATTTTTTTATTTTTTTTGCTGGAAAATTTTACCTTGGTTTCATGTGAAACTCTAGGCCCCCCAGCATGTTGGAAACATGTTCCAACAATCATGCTATCTCTTTTTGATGGCAAAATATTTTTATACATATAAAGTTTGCAACACTGCAGCGTTGTCGTCATGTCTATTTTGTCATGTCTGTCAATATATTGCGCGCCATTTTTGTCATTGCAGCAGTGTAGCTTGGAGCTTGTCCACGTTAACAAGCATCCAGAAACCTTTTCACATTTTAATAAATTTTATAATCTAGCTCTGCCCTGTTGGGCATCTAAGCAAGCTCTGGCTTCTTGTCATCTTGTAGTAGTAATTGTAAATAGTGTAAATATTGTGTAAATTGTTGTAAATATAGTGTCAGTGAAAAGCGCGTGTGTTTTAGTTCCCTATCCAGTCGATCATCCAGTCCACCTAATTATACAGTCCACTAATTATCAAGTTATTTATCTTCCATTATGTGGTTTTGCACATATTGTGAAATCCAAAGTATGTAGATTAACGAGTCTCTAGCTTATTTGAATAGTAGAACCAGGCCTTAGAGTAGCCATTATCCTACTAGAAGTTAAGTTAGGTTTAAGATAAGTTCCATGCATTTTTTATTTATGTTTGTCTTAAGTTGAGAATTATTTTATTTTGTTTTTATTTAGTAAGTTTTGCAGGATATTCCAGAATCTGTGATCCTTAACCAAAGAATGTTTCTGTTTCTTTTATATGCATTTTTGAAATATATTTGATATAAGTATCAAACGTTTATTTTCTCATTTATTAATGTTATGAATTAGTATTGTATTTTTCTGTTTAAAACGAAATAAAAGAAATATTTTTCTTATTGCCTTTTTTTTTCAACTCAGCATGTTCATTGTATATTCAAAAAAATATATTCCTGGTAAGTATCTCACTTTTTCAATAGTTCTAATTTTGAAATACGAAGGACTAAAAGGCGGCTACTCACTACATGGTACTTACCAAGTATTTGCCAAGTTTCGAATAATGTGTATGAAGACTTGTACTTGCCGTTGGCTGCCGGTAATCATCGCAAGTCAAAAAGCGCGAGTAGCATATGGCAAGTAGGCAAGCGCTACTTACTCGGTATACCTAGTCTCGACAAGTTTTGATTGTTTTGTTTGTGGTTGAAGTTGAAATGGAGTGGAATTGTGGTAGGATTTTTCTGGATATCTATGCAAAGGATCCTGTTATTATCTTTGCTATTTAAGTTGCTATTATTGTGATCATTTCGTGTCCTTGTAAAAATTTGTTTTAATTTCGTGGGTTAGAGGACAGGACCAAAAAAAAGAAACTATCAAGCTTTCGGCAACGTTTCGGAATATATTTTTCCTTTTTCAAGCCTTAAACTATTGCTTCTGGAGTCCGTTCAGGATGGACAAAAGCACTTCTCATCATATTATTTTAGGGATGCAATCAATTTTAAAAAAAATCGTTATTTTGAATTTGAATTTGAAAGCTAACTGATGCTATTATTGGTGAACATGTAAACTTTACTTATATTTGAGAACTATATATTAGTGCAAATTTGTCGAAAATTATAAATATATTTCCATTGCACGAGTTGTATTTAATGAGATTATACAACTCACTGTACATTATTCCCATATGACACGAGAGGCTTAAAAAGTGATAAGCCTTTTGGGATTATCGCGCTTGGTGGCATTTATGGCAAATTCTATTATAATTTTTTTTTTTAAATTTTAAAGTAATAAATAATGGCAATATTGTTATTGATAATAATAAAAATTAATAAAGCAAGTTTAGTTCGTTGTATAACCTTTTGAATACCACTCGATATTCCAGGATTACCTAATACTTTTACCTGACACTCAACGCGTTACCAGCAACACCACTCCTCCTTCGGAGTCGTGGTGTTGCTGCGTAACGCGTTTCGTGACAGGTAAAAGTATTATCCGGTAATCCTGAAACCTCTTGTGGTATTACATTCGAGAATTTCATAAATCAAAAATTTAAATTTTTTGTCAAAAAATGTCAAAACACCAGTTTTCGCACCAGTTAGTATGCAATTATCTGATAATTTGTACTAGTGCAAATTATCGCGTAATTACAATCTGATTGGTTCAAATCAACAATCAAAACATGTCAATTTATTGTTGGAATACCAGTTTTGACAGATGTATGAAATTCTCATTATTAATATTTTCGAAATTTCACATAAGCTTGGTTCTGTAGTTCTTATATGGTCTTTCATAGTGCAAAAGTCATCGAGTGCACATCATGCACCTAGGATGAATAATTTTTGTTGTCTGATGGTCTGTTCTTTTTAAACTACTTCACTTAATGTCTTCATATAACCTTTCGCACAATGTGCGCTGTTTTCAGCAAGCCAGATGTTGTAAACTCAAAAGATAGTGATTGCAAATGCTGCAGCCTACATACGATTATCACTCTCGGACTCAAGCTTACGTTCACGACGACTTGAACTTCTCGAATTCCATACAGCATTGGCTACTCGGCACATAGTGTGTACAGTTTCCTTTCACTTGTACAAGTATACTTGCCAAACTCCAGTCAAGTCAAGTTACTTGCCAAGTATCACATAGTGAGTAGTGAGTAGCCGCTTTAAAAGGTTCACTTGCGAGCAAAAAATTGGGTCGGAAAGGGTGTCAATTTTCTCCTGGTCTTTATTCGATAATCATCGACCACTTATTCATCATCGTTTGCTTCCAGAAATTCTGGATGTGTTAAATGAACTACTCATTGTAAGTACTAATAGTACAACATACGTCCGCGTGTTTTTGGCCGCAACAGGAATACATGTGTGTTAATTTTGACCTTAATATAACATTTTATCAATTTTGCCTGTATGAAAGTTTTTGAGATGATTATTTTCCATTTGATGGTGCATGTTTTTTTTTATTATTTTCATACGTTTTTGGAGCACGTTTTGCAGATTAGTGTTTCTTTTTCTGGTCACATTTTATGCTTTTAGTTTCAAATCAAAATATGATTTATTTTACTAATTCACCATATTAGTTAGGTTGGGATCGCAAATTGGCGCGGGTTCCTAGTTCAAAAATTAATACATTGATGTCTTATGGGGACTCAATTTTAAAAGCGTCTGTCGACGTGATAGAACGTTTGTTAGGGAAGTGAGTTGTATAAATAGTTTTTTTAATATGTTAATTAACTGAGAGAGTGTTTGAAAGTTGAATAAACATTGTTAAAATAAAAATATTACCAATTTAAGAAGCCGATGTTTGTATAAAATACGTATGTCGTTGCTTGATCCATAAGTATATATGTGGGTATATATAATTATAATAAAATAAAAGTGTACCTACATACTTGGTTAGTAAATGTACTTCAATAATCCAAAAAAATGGAAAAACAAATGACTGAACTAGTGATAAATAAATAAATAAACAATTCACCAACAATCATAACACAACACACAACCTCACTTTCTTACAGCTGGTTTTAGACCCGACGTACGTCCACCAAAAACAGACACTTTTAATTAAAATCATTTGTATTTTTAATTTATAGGTCTAAAAAAACAATTAAAGCATGAATTATAGAGAAATATGCTCAAAGTTTGACGTATAATAGGTTCAAATACTAAGAAATGTCCAGAACCCAAGATACTCCCGTCTGAAAATCACTCTTTTGAATCCCCCATAAGAAATACATTGCTGTCAAATTTGTTGAAATGTGTTTAGGAACCCATTTTAAATTTCGCGCCCGATTTTTCCTAACCTAACTAATATGATGAATTACAAAGGTATTTATTTACAACCACATAGGTAATGTTGACATTTCCGACTTTTCAAAAGTTTGAAAGTGACACTTTTTTGAATTCTACTTTCCACCCGGGTGGAAAGTGATCCCGGGTGGAAAGTAAGTCCTATTTTCCTAAAATGTTGAAGACCAGTCCTACATGTCAAACGTTTTTTTAGATAAGTCAGAACTTGTCTATAAAAATTTTTAATTTTTTAAAAATATTTAGTCAAAATTGTAATGGTTGTAATTGTTGTAAATAAAATAGTATACAAACCTCGATAGGAAGTTTCATTCCTGTCTCGTAGAAAAATGCCTTCAAAAAGCCTCCATAAAGACGAAAACACACAAATTTTTCTGCGGAAATGCTTCATTTCCATTTTCCGGACTTTAGAATAGCTGAGATCAATTATGTGAAAAATTTTGGTTTGTTTGCATTTTTAACATTTTTCTGAAAATACAAGCAGAAAAAAAAAATTGAATATTTAGTTGAAAACATGAAAAATTGATATTACTTTGCATTGTAAACATTTTTCTGAAGTAAAAAAGAACAAATTTTCTCGCGGAAATACATAGTTTTTATTTTCGAAATAATTTTTTACACATAGCTGTCAAATTAAACCAATGAAAAAACATCTCAAAATCCTCTTCCCGACCTTTGACACAGATCAATGGATAGGCTCCTTGCATCAAATTTTTTTATTGCTGATTTCGATAGTCCATGAAAAATAAGTCAAGACGTGTTTTTTCTTTTTCTTCTTAGCTTGAATTTCTCCGAAAAATGGAAACAGCAAGGAAAGAGCTTATTTCCGCAGGAAAATTTTTGTGTTTTTATATTCAGAAAAATGTTGAAAATGCAAAGCAAAGAATTATTTTTAACGTAACTGATTTCAACTATTCTGAAGTCCAGAGAATGGAAATGACGCATTTCCGCAGAAAAATTCATGCATTTCTGATATAAGGAAGACCTCCTGAAAACAACTGTGATAATAGTCCTTATATACCTGATTTCAGCTAAACGAAAGTTGAGCCGAGAGTATTTCTATTGCATTAAATTCAGAGAACAAAGAGATTTCTCAATAACAATTTTATCAAATATTTTTTTTTTCAGTGGATTACTTAAGAACCGGCTACCAAAATTTAACCTACTCTTTTGGCTACATCTTCTCTATAATCCAAAACTATGCTTGGTATATGGTATTTGGAGGCCTGGCCTTTTATTACATCTACACAAAATTCCTGAGGACCATATTAGAATCGACGTTTTTAAGTTATGAAAATTATAAAAAGCAAAAAGAGGAACAGGAATATGCAGCCAAATATCACAAAAGTAATCCATTAATGAATTTGTAGTTTTAAAGAAACTGATTTATTTGCAATTTATAGATCCTGACCTTTTTTCGGCAAGAGTCTCTGCTCAGCAAAATCGTGCTCAAAAACTACAGGAGCAATATGATCAGGAGGCACGAGAACATCAAGCGAAATTGAAAGAGGTAAATTAATAGCAAGGTCATTAACCGGTCATTTATTAGGAGAATTTTTTATTGTTAAATTTTCACAATTTATAATTGCTAAAAGGAAATACAACCTAGGCAATATCATGATTATGTGATCTTGTATTTTAGTTTTTTTGGCCAAGAGGGGTGCATGTTTGAGAAACTGTAACTTGCAAATTTTAATTATTCTAACCAAATATTGGAATGTCCTGTAAGCCAGTGCTCTATAATTCAATTTAGGGGCACTGTACATTAGGGCTGGGCGATTATCAAAATAAATAATCGATTATCGATTATTAGAAATAATCGATTATTTTCGATTAATCGATTAATCGAAAATAATCGATTAATCGAAAATAATCGATTAATCGGAAATAATCGATTAATCGGAAATAATCGATTAATCGAAAATAATCGATTAATCGAAAATAATCGATTAATCGAAAATAATCGATTAATCGAAAATAATCGATTAATCGAAAATAATCGATTAATCGAAAATAATCGATTAATCGAAAATAATCGATTGATCGAAAATAATCGAAAGTAATCGGTTAATCGAAAATAATCGATTATTTTCGATTAATCGATAATTTTTTTTGATAAATCGTTTATTTTCGATCTATCGATTATTTTTGATTATTCGATTATTTTTGATTATTCGCTTATTTCACAATAATCGGTAGATTTTTTTCTTGGGTTTCATGAAGTAAAAGAAATTCACTTGCCCTTAACCGGCTTGTTTTGAAATAAACTCTCTGGTTACTTTGGAGTTTGAGGCCCGGTTTATTCATCTTCAGATAGACTTGCTGGTTGACAACTATTAGCAAGATCAATTTACCCTTCTATAATTATTGTCTCGGTCGACCAAGGGCCAACCAATAACTGGCTGACCAATGGGATTACAGATTGCGTTATTATCCGCGAAATTGCATACCTAACAGTTTATCAGAAGGTGAATAAACCGGCCCTTAGATATGCAAACAAAAACAAAACATAAAATTATCTCAAAAATAATAGAAATCGTAAATAATTGATCAATCGAAAATAACCGAATAATCGAAAATAATCGATTAATCGAAAATAATCGAATAATCGAAAATAATCGATTAATCGAAAATAATCGAATAATCTAAAATAATCGATTATCGAAAATAATCGATTAATCGAAAATAATCGATTAATCGAAAATAGTCGATTAATCGAAAATAATCGATTAATCTAAAATAATTAATCTAAATTAATCGATTAATCGAAAATAATCGATTAATCGAAAATAATCGATTAATCGATTATTAATCGATTATTTTGCCCACCCCTACTGTACATATCCCATCAGCTTATTCTATCAATATTAGTTTAAATAAGAAAAGTAGCCCAGTAAACATGGTAGTAATTGACGCATCAATTGCAAATCTAGATACAAAATCACTTTATAGTAAGGTGGGGCAAGTGCATTTGTGGGGTAATTGCAATCATTCATTATCTTGTCTCCAAAACCCACTATAGATTATCGATACCATTACCATCTTGTCGAGTTCTGTTAAATTAAAGACCTGTCACAAATGCGCATCATAATAGACACAACTTCAAAAATTAAGAGCACAATATTTGTCTTAACATCAAAACTGGTTATATTTTCGCTCAACAAGTGTTTCTTAAAATGTGATCTACAGAAAATAAAATAAAGGTAAGGCAATTATTTCAACGGAATTAACTACAAATAACATGGCTAAAAATTGTTTTTAATGATATAATCGATTATTGTATTAGGCCTTTTGTTTATTTATATGATTGCACTTACCCTATTAACTGTGTACCTGGGGTAAATGCAATCATTATCTAGCGGTAAAATGCAATCAACATATGATTGCACTTTCCCAATTAGAGTTTTAATGTGGAAGATAAGAAAAATTCACTTTTTTTTTCAGATGGTTAGAAATTATGTCAGAAAAACTAAAAGAGGAGCAGGATATAACAAAGTAGATCTAGAATATGCTGTTCGAGATGTGAAATCTGGAAAAACACCTCTTTTTAATTTTTTTGATCAGTAGAGTTTGAGTGGTTTCTTATTTAAATACAGACATGTATTTTAACAATTTCTATATTTTCTTCTAACATAAATGATAACATTTAGTGGTTATGGCACAGTTATTTTACTTATTCTAAAAGAATATTTCATCTGATTGAACTTTCACGATGGCATCGGGAAAGTGCAATCACATGCAAGCAGAAAAATATACAACACCCATTCCATCTATCGTACAAATTTGACGATTTCGATGAAATGGCTTTAATGGAACTATTTGGGTGCCTTATGTTCAAGAATAGAAAGTTCAATTTGCATAAATAAAATTTTGATATTACATTCAACATTGAACTGACACTATTGAAATTTCTGGTCGCACTTACCCCACCTTACCTTAAGTTACATTTCCCAAAAACATCAAAATCTTTTGTTTTTAGAGGGAAGAACGTAAAAGACAAGAAGTCCAAAACCTATTGAATGAAGGCGGAAACAGGCTGGGAGGAGATGATAAAAAAGACAACAACCAAAAACCCAAATCCTTGAGACCAGGTAAAATCCAGCTAAGCTAGTGTAGTAATTCATCAACTAAATTTGACAACTTTTTACTAGAATATAATCCTCTCATGGAACCTGGAACTTCCTCCAATTATAGGCCACCTAAAAGGAGCAAGTGCGGAGGAGGAGGATGTGGCAAATAAATATGTATTTCTATTAAATTCTTAATTTTATTTAATTATTGTATAACTATAATTTAGGAAAATAGTTAAAAAAATTATACTTAACTAGTTTTAAGATAAATCATTAATAATTACTCACACAAAAAAAAATACAAACATCAGCCTAAAGTAGCCCTTGTCTTTTCAAATCCTCATACGTTTTCCTGTTCACTACATTACCCTGAGAATCTTCATATTCTTCTTCAGTTTCTGGCTGCCAACGTTCGCTCTGTTTCTGAACCTTTAGCTTTTCCCACACTAAAAACGCACAAAATAAACTATTGCCGAATAATTGCAAATCAAAATAAATTCTTACATGCTAAGGCATCCTCAATTTGTGTCACATTGGCAAAATGAGCTGTGTTGGGTATACCCAAACATCTCATACCATGAGCATGTCTCCATTCGGCAAAATGTCTTTGGAATGCTTTGGGGCCTTTGTAAACAAAATTACCACAAATTTCGCAGTTGTAGCTGATGTTCAGGCCGTGTAGTTTATATAACCAATAAGGAATAGGCTAAAAAATATTAATTAGTAGCTGGAAAGGCATTTACAAATTTTTACTTTTCCGTCCCATCCCAGGGGTAAATTTTTGGGATTATATGGTACATCATCGTCATTTTCATCACCACTTTCGTCTTCAGATTCCTCATTTTCACTGTCATCCCTTTCGCCATCGGTTCTGGCTTGTTTCCGTTGGACGTTTTCTTTAGTTGCTACTCGTTGGTCACTAACTATCTCAGAAAGTCTAAAAAAAATCATAAGTGATAAATTTTCAGCTAGAAACCAATTTGTGCCTTTACTTGTAAATTTGAGCTTCCATCATAGCCAAATCTCTTTGTCTCAACAATTCTTTTTCTTTGCTTGCCTTTCCTTTAGTTGTTTTAGTCATTAAGGCAGGATCCAGTGAGCTTTGACCTTTAGTTGAAAACAGTCTTTGTGCTCTTTCTTCTAAAGTCCTAAATAAAACATTAAAAACATTAACAAAAATGTAAGTAAAACAAAAGAATTCTTACCCTCCACATTTGAGCCCCAGCGCCATCAAAGCAGATTTCAATCTATCTAGTCCGAGTGAAGCTAATTCTTCCCAACTAGAAAATGCAGACAAGTCTAAATGAGCTCCAACATTAGCCAAAGCAGACCCTGCTTCTTTCTAGAAAAAAGATAATATACAAAACCACAAAGTTTAATTGAAAAAATCCTTACTGGCCATCCAGGACAAGAATCCGTTTCCCATTCTATAGCAGCCTTTCTAGCTTCGTCATCTAAAAGAATGTCCAAATGCAATAAAGGTTTTATTCTTTGGATAAACCAACATAGATATTCTATGAGACAATTTAAGTATTTTCGGTATTCGCCTGTTTTTCTTTCTTTGGGTATGTCGTAGAGCTGATCAAACATACTCAGGTAACTGATGTAATCAACTTTCTAAAATCAGACAATTTATCATTATTTGATTTTTGAACGAATATTTTTGACTTACTTCTATGCCTTTTAAGTTGATGTATTTTTCATAGCATTCGTGCAAGTCCAGAAACTTTCCATATCCTTCTTCATCAGTAAATTCCACCAAATCTGCCAAAAAATAGAAATTATTTTAATTAATTACCAATTACATGGTAGATTACTTACTTGACATTTCCTCAGTAGGATTTTCTCTTGCCTTTGCTAACTCGTCAAACTCCACAGACATTGGCACACTGATCTACAAGAAGACAAAATATAATCATTTTTATCAAAAAAAAAGGAATGGGGCTATACCTCATTTGGATGTCTCCTATAAAAATCCTTAATTTGTTTCAACCTGCTATAAAATTCATTGAATTCATTCGGGCCTGTAAGAGAAGCAACTTCAGCTTTTCTTTGGCCATCTTTGTCGTCATATAGGTCAATAAGTTTATTGGTTGACATTACATATCTATCCAGTAGATATTTTAATCTTTGATCAGAGTTTATTTGTTCTCTATACTGAAATAAAATATATATTATTGCAGCTTATAGATATGTTGTATCCATTTGATGCAGGTGCAGTAGTCATTCCATTGATTTATGATAGGAGTTAAATTTTAAGTGTCTTTGCTTGTTTAGGTTGGAGTTTGTAGTGTGCTCAACGTAAAAAGAGCACTTTTAAATTGTTATTTCGAGCAAGGGTGTTTGAATTAACGTTATATGATACTACACCAGTCAGTAACAGGTTTCACTTACAGAATTCTTTTTATGTAGATTTTCTTTGACCATGGCATCAACGAGCCGTTCCTTTTCTTCATGGTAGCGTCTTTGCTGTTCCAAAATTGTTTCCATTCTTTTATATTAGTTTTCTTCAAAAGGTACGTTTCTATGTAATATAGAAAGCGGTTCCAAAAAGGGAAAAAAAAAAGAATTTACAATGCAATTTATAGTTATTTGAGTTAAATAAAATATAAAATGTTTGAAGTTGAGAACGTTGAGGTTATGATGTTGTTGAAACTCGAAACGCAAACGCAACGTTCGGTTCGCATTTGTTTGTGACTTTGACATCTGTCTTCGCTCTAAACTGAGGTGCTTTCCAAGGACCCATTTGAGTTACTCCTGAGTAGCCAAGGAGTGTTCCACAATCACTTTACGCGTCCAAAGCCAATTTTAAGCGAATAACCACAATTTTGTGGTTTTAACCGCGGTTACGCTTTAGTTGAAGATGACAGATCACTTGATAACGTCATTTCATTGTATTCGCTTAAATCAGAGAGCCGATTAAACGCGATGGAATATTGTTAACCGCGGTTATATCTTTGGTCAGTCCTTTGGTTATCTTTGAAACAGCGATTGTCGACCCTTTTTGATTAACCTGAGAGCTCGCGTTTATGCTATGGTTATTCCGTTAACCCCAATTTTTTTGTTTATTCCGTTCTGTTCTGTCTGGTGATTGTTTTTTGTTAAATTTTCACCTAAAGTACAGTACATTATTATTATGTTTATTATTTGGTGAAGTTTTAGTGTTTAGTTTTGTGTTAACCTAGATCAAATCTTCAAAGATTGATTTTTCGATCAGTTCGAAGCAGTGATGGGTCCACGGGTTTTTAGATTTAAACCCAAAAAACCGGTTTGGGTTTAAACCCACCCGGGTTTTTTCAATGATAGGTTTAAACCCTTTTTGGTTTCTTAGGGGTTTTTAAGAAAAATAGGTTTTTTGGGTATTTTAGGGAAAAAAAAGCGTTACATGGTGGCGTAAAACAAGTTCTTTATAAACAGGTTAAACAAAATTAACAATAACTAAACAAGAAAAAAGTCTGAGTCTGAGTACGAGTCAACTGTAAAAGAAGTAGAAGAAGATACCGAAGTCGACTGTGAAGAAAATGCCAATGAAAATAGTGAAAATTAAAATACTGATTTCCAATTGGAATTACTTTAGGGATTGGTGGATGACAATAGGATTGAATTTATAAATATTGAATTATATTTTATAATTAATAATTAAGTTTTCATTTATTAATTTATTATAAGAATATTTGATATTTTTAGTTTTATGTTTTGTTTTCTTTTGTATTGAGTTTGTTTTTTTGTTTTTTTTATTCAGTTTATTTGAAAATAATAGAACACTTATCATTTATCCTAATAATTATCATTTAAAAGTTTGATTTGGATTAACCCTTTCAGGACGGCAGTATTTTCACTTGTTTTGGCGTGTGGACGGCAGTTTTTTGCATGCTGGATACACGGGTGTCATATATATCTGCCTGCATTGTTTTTGAGCAATGCATTTATGGAGTACCTCACGTTGATCCAATCCGCAATACCTATTGTAATCATTTTGCACTCTAACCCGCTTTTTTGAAGGTCCTGGCTGTTCCTCTGCCAACATTTTGAATGATACTAGCTATTAGTCACGTAGGGTACTCACTGAACTTGCCACCCCGACGACTGTCATATATTTCGGTCGTTCATGGCGTAGCACGGATATGTGTGGCCGATTATCCGGTCAGTCGTCTGTACGGCAAATTGATTTTTCAAATTTGTCTGAAATATATGATATTAGTCCATGGAGCCCCAAGTAACAACAGCACGTGAAAATGACGTTAAATACTGGTCATCAAGTGACGAGAAATGACGAGCTAAATGACTTAATTATGACGTGAAAATGACTTCCTAATGTCTGGGACGAATGACGTCATAGTTGGTACGTCATTTTTACGTGTTATTTGACGTCAAGTTTATGAGTTATTTAACGTGATATTGGCGTATTAATAGCGTTCCATTCGCGTGATATCTATTTTATAAATGACGTCATATTTACCTGATATATTTTCTATAAATCCTTGTTTTTTCAAATTTATATGACCTGTAACGAAAATGAACCAACACTATATCACTTTTGAGAAAAATATATTTAAAAAAAGACAATATAAATATTCTGTAGGCGTATTAAACATATTACTTGTAGTACTTGCTAGGTGAGGTAACAACCAGACACTTACCTGTTGGTCCATAAGTTGGCCCTTAGGTGAACAAGCAATAATAATAATGTATATTATAATATAAAATAAGGTATATTAAAACAAAAGACATATACTTACGGTTGGTGATTGTTATTAGTCTCAACACAAACACGTGAATAAAACTCACATTCATATAGAGGCGTTTCACTTGGATGCAGCAGGATGATTCTGAAGAGAAATTAAAACCGAAAAATATATCAAGAATTAATAATTCCACGCGATACTTGCGTAAAAAAGAAATGAGGGAAACTTGGAGGGAAATGAGAAAGCAAAAAGCGAGGGAAAACCAAATGAAACACGACCACGCCATGCTACAACCACAACATAACCTCAACAAACTCCCTCACAACAATCAACGTCAACAGTCACACACACAGTAGCGAATTGGAAGGGTTAGTGCGCACTGAGTGTGTTCGTGTCTTTTCTACCGACTTCTATAAGAAAGAGATAAAAAAACATTTTTCTGCACTGGTTCTACCAATAGAATTCGCTGAATAGCATATTCGTTTCCCCACGCGGCGATGCAATATTTATTGTTGTCCCTTACTAATACTAAACTAATGCTAGAATTTCGAAACAAAAAAAATACAGGAGTGAGTGTATTTGTATTTACTCTTTTCCTTTTTCCCGTTGAGTTACTCGGAGCTGCTCAAAGTCAGAAGCTTGAACGTTTTTCGTTCGGTGTTTGTTCGGTGTCACTCGATGTATAAAAGGAATACAGTAATTTCCGCATTCACCAAACCGTTGACCAAACACAAAAACAAACCAAATACGTCCCCTTTCTGGCCTTTCCACAGTTTCTACCGTTTATTTCTATACTATTTGAAAGTCAGAGATGGAACTATGAGTATGAACTATGGGAGTTTTCCATTTAATTTTTATTCAAAGATGTGTTTTCAAACGCATCAAAGTTTTGCTGTAGTAAAAATTAAAAAACAGGATGTCGAAAAAATGCGAGGGTAGGGGTATTATTCGCATTCGATTCGATCAAAATTTTCGTGAGTAGTTACAAATGCGAAAAAAAATAATGATTTGTATCATCACTTTGTCACCTATTCACTATAGAATACAGTATACACGGCACAACCCTAGGAATTCTAGGAATACATTCAAAACACATTGAAAAAAAAAAACTAATTCAAAAAACCAGGTTTACTGAACCACAAGCAAAATACGTGAATATTACATGATATATATTGACGTCAATGTGTATTACATTTATCACCAGAAAAACGCGTCAATATTACGTGATAAAAAGCACGGCATTTATCACACGTCAATATGTCGTCAGTTTTTGGTCAGGTGACGAGTATTGACGAATTATCACCATATAAGGACGTCAATATGACGTACCCTTGCTGGCTGGGGCATGAATAACTCGATGTCACATATATCGGACAGCCGCCTGTGTGTCAAATTTGTATGTGGCAGATATATGGGTCAGCCGTACTGAAAGGGTTAAAAGTGTTCCTTAGAGAAGAAAAAAATGAAAAACTTGGGTTTATTGGGTTTTTAAGAAAAATCAGGGTTTAAACCCAAAACTTGAATAAACCGGGTTGTTTCCATAAACCGGGTTTTTTGAAATACGGTTATTCGAAAAAACCGGTTCTTTCCAAAGGGTTTTTAGGGTTTTTTTCCAAAAAACCTGGTCTAAAACCATCTCTAGTTCGAAGTTCATTTTTTGGAGTTGCACAAAAAAACACAACATACAAAACACAACAGAACAACGAAAACCCCGTCAAAATCCGCCATTTCGGGTATTTCTCCTTTATTTACTTTTTCAGACAAGGACAGAACATAATAACCTAGCTCCAGAGGTAGGTTAAAAATGGTTGAACCAAAGATAAAGTTTGCTATTAACCGCGGTTACCCCTGTTGTATTATTGCTATTTGTTTATATTTTGAATTTTGATTGCTGGCCGGAAAATGGAAAAGAGTAGAGAAGTTGCCTTTTTATTTGGACAGGTGTTTTTTTTGAAGACACTGCGGAAATAATTGATTTGTTAGGAAATCTACCAATTTGTTGCATTTTTTTTTTAAAAAAAAAGGGAAGACATGAGACCGAAATCAATTGAAACAGATTATACAACTCACTGTACATTATTCCCATATGACACGAGAGGCTTAATAAGTGATAAGCCTTTTGGGATTATCGCGCTTGGTGGCACATATGGCAAATTCCATTATAGACATTTTTTTAAATTTTAAAGTTTAGTTCGTTGTATAACCTTTTGAATACCACTCGATGTTTCAGGCTTACCTAATACTTTTAACTGACACTCAACGCGTTACCAGCAACACCACTCCTCCTTCGGAGTCGTGGTGCTGCTGCGTGACGCGTTTCATGACAGGTAAAAGTATTATCCGGTAATCCTGAAACCTCTTGTGGTATTACATTCGATAATACTTGCCATTAAGAAGTAAATTAGCTGTTTTTAAGTGCCGGTATTTCAATGTAACCCTAAAATCAAGATGTACCAAAGGTATCCTTAACGTTGAGGTGAACTTGAAATCAGTTCATTCAGGTGGCTTAAGATTCACCTTGAATTAGGGGAGCTTTGATATACGGTGAAACTTGTATTAAAGATGACTTAACGTTATTTTGTACCTTAAGATGACATTGAAATACCGACCCTTTCTCCAACCTGTATATCCGCACCTTCATGATTTATGCTTAGGGAAAAAGAATTTGAAGTAGGTATCCATAATTTCTGGGTTCAAGGACTCTACCGCGAAAACACGAACCGCGCGCGACATCACCGCGCACTGAAAACCGCGCAAGATCAAAACCGCGCAACCACAGCCCTCTACATTTAACAAGCCATGAAGTTAAAAAGGCAACACCGCAATCTTACCGCCAAGTGGTGCTGGGGTGCGTTCAAGGCCGGCAATGCTAATGCCAAAACCTACTTTTCCCCCTCCACCTGTAATGCCGAACCACGTAGGTTGGAGCGGAACTCGAACGCAATATGCCAATTTTGGCTTGGCCGTAGCCATTCCTGAACGCAGCCCAGGTGGT